TGTGGGTCTCGTGCCAGGAAGCTGCTTGTGGTGGTCGGAGAAAGAACATGGTCATGGGCTCTGTGTCTCACCAACTCAGACCCCCGGCTAACTTTTTTGGAACCTTTGAGATAGAACTCCTACTGGTCAGGGGACTCCCACAGAACTGGGGGGTACATGGCACATAGGCCCCATACAGAGCATGGGGTGCTGGAGTCACCACAATCTCAAACTATCACTTAGGGCTTCCTGGGTGCCCAGCTCCACACCTGGGGCTGCTCATGAGTTCTCTCCATCCCTCCTCACCACTATCTCACGAGGCAGCCGACTGTGTACCCAAGGAAACCGAGGCTCAGAGAGGTAAAGCACTGTGCTGTAGGTCACACAGCAGGTAGGGAGCAGAGCTGGAGTTTGAAGCAAAGCATCTTACCCTGAAGTCCAAGCCTTGACTACCCAACAAAACAGTCTCCCTCTGGAGCGACTCTGGGATGAAGTCATCTGTTGGACTGGTGCTTCCTCATCCATTAATTGGAACCAACTGGTCAGAAGCTCTCCTATCCCCTCTACTGTCTTAGAAAGTATTTCCCCGGTGTTTAACCTGGAAAGGACCCCTAAACTCCTAGAACTGACCAGGTCAGAGTGTGGAGGAGGGAAGAGGGAAGATGCAGAGTAAAGTGAAATGGCCAGCATCCTCCTTACAAAAAAGATAGAGCAGATTCCCTGGACTCAGGGAAGCTGTAGGATGGCTGGCTGACTGACTGATCCAGCTCCTCTGACTCAGCCCCTACCTACTCCGCCGGGGCTGTGACCACACAGTGAGCTGGGTGGGAGTTGGGGGCAGTCCATGGATGCTGTACTGGAGTAAAGGGGTTATTGGATCTAAGTTTCGGTTAAAAAATTAATACATCTTTGGGATCTGCTTAAGCAGCTGCATTACTTGCCCTCTGCCATGGTTCTGTGTATTCAAGGATGTTGAAACTCTACATTCCTCCCACTGGGAAGGAGGAGGCCTTCATCTTCCTTTAGTTACCTTGGAACCCTGAAAGGGCCTTCCAGGACTAGTGAGGCTAATATTAATAGTAGAAATATTAAAGGCTCAAACTCCTGGGGAACGAAGCTTGAGTGATCAGATCCGACAGAATACAGAAGGTGCTCAGTTCAGGAGTGAAGGTGGTGATGCCATGTGTGTGCAAATCACAGAGGAACAAACACTGGGTGGTCCCACTGATGGTGAGACTGTATGGAGCCATGCTGCTTACCCAAAGGCTGTAAGCGCTGATGGTTCAAATTCACCATCGGCCCCTTTGGATCTTCTTCTGTGTGATTTACAGCCTCAGAAACCCAGTAGAGGGTCAGCTATGAGTCAGTTCTGATTCAGCTGCGATGAGTTCTGGTTTGGTTTAGTTTTATTATTCCGTTTATAAGAGAAATCTAGAACAGGCAAATAAATACATAGAAAGCAAAGCTTATTGGTGGTTAACTGTGGCTGGAGACTTGGGGGGTGTGGGGGAGTTACTACTGAAGGGCTGCTAAGATTCTGGGTGATGATAACTTTTGAAAATAGGTAGTGGTGATGGTGGCATATACGGTGAATATGATTAATGTCCCTGAACTCTCTACTTAAGAATGGTTAAAGAAACAAAACAATGGTTAAAATAGTAGCCTTTTAGGGGTGTGTATGTGTGTGTGTGTGTGTGTGTGTGTGTGTGTGTGTGTGTGTGTGTTGTTATTGTTGATTGCCATCAAGTTGAGTATGATTCACAGTGACCTCATGAACAAAAGACCTGAAGCCTTTCTATAGGTATTGTCAATTCTCAAAGTTCATAATTTCCACAGGCATGTTGTTTAGGAAGTGGATGCCACTCCTGCTTCATATATATATATAAATTATTATATATTAATTGTTACTTTTGACATGTTGCAAGGAGGGACAGGCCCTTGGAGAGGGTCGTCATGCTTGGGATGGTGGAGGGACAGCACAGGAAAGGAAGACCCTCGAAGAGGTAGATTGATTCAGTGACTAGAGTAGTGGGGTGGGTGTGTTGGAGATAGTGAGACTGGTACAGGACAGAGCATGGTTTAGGGTTATTGTATATAGGGATGCTATGTGTCACAGGCAACCCAACGGTACATAACAACAACAATAACATATTAATTGCATATATATATATATATTTGTTATATATCATCAAATCAGAACTGACCCATAGCTGATCCTCCAGTGGATTTTCTGGAAAAGTTAATCATATGGGAGAAATTGCCCATCCTTCTCCTATGGAGCTGGAGCAGCTGGTGGATTTGAACCATGTACTATTGGGATTGTAGTGTAGCATTATGCCACTAGGCCACAAGTGATATTTTATATATATCTGAGATATATATATATCTGAGATATATATATATCTCATATATATATATATCATATATATATATATCAGATATATATCTCAGAACTCTCATATGCATGTATGTGTGTCTACATATATCCATCCACAAAAAATTAAATCCTTTTTAAATGCCACTCCTTCCTATCACACTTGATCCATTTTAATGAAAGGTGAGAGGCCTAGTTGCACATGCCTTGTTTAGAAAGTTGTGCAACTTCTGAAGAGTCCTTCTCCCAGCTCGAGGCCCACCCTGGCTCTGCTGAAGGCACACTTATCCTCTCTTGGGGGGGGATGACCACAGCCCTGGCTGCTCTAGCCACTTTCCCAGGCTTGCCGAATGTCTGGAAACATCTGGAAGGAGCCATGTCCAAGGCATTAAGCTAATGAAGGACAGAGCTCCATGTCCAGGAAGGAGAAGGATCCAGCCCCCTACCCAGAGGCAGCCAGCGCTGGTAATCAGCAGTCCCACTGAGGCAGGCACAGGCTTCCAAGCCAGCCTCTTACAGCGGGTCAGGAGCAGGTGGATTTGGTTCCTTGTGTCCAGGGAGGGGCCAGGAGATCTAAGGCCCACACTTATTGCTCCAACCTGCCTGGCTGCCCTGCCATCTGATGGGCCTCTGGCAGAAAGGAGTTCCCACGCAAGGGGCCCGGATCAGTCTCTCCCAAAGCAAGGATCAGGTCGTCCCTTTGCCTTAAAACACTCTTACCCTCACTTGGTGGCTGCGTGCCAGCACATGCTGACATGCCAAAAAGCAAAGCCGAATGTGTCACAGAGAACCATAAACGCCATCTGTCAACAGAGAGTTAAGACGTGCTAACCTAAACACGGCCCTGGAGACCGCTCTCTGCAGTTCATAAACATACAGCACCCGAAAGCCTGGCCTCAAGGCAATGGCAGAGCGAGCTGGAGGCGGAGCTGACCTCAGACCTGCTGCCTCTTTTCCCAGGACCCCACACTCAAGAGATTCCCATTTCCCATCACCAGGTACTTGCTGAACTTCTGTTGTGCACTAGTCACTCTGCTAGTGTTGGGGACACGGTAGCCAATGGGATCCACAGTGTCCCTGCCCTTGGGGAACTACAGCCTAATGAAGTGAAGTGCTTGTGTAATTGTAAAACTATCATTATGTAAAGCAGCACTGGGAGCTGGAGAAGATATGAAAGGAGACTTCATCTTGGCAGGAAATCAAGGAGGGTCTCCCTGAGGAGGTGACGTTTTAGCTAAGACTGGAGAGATGAGAAAGTCAGAGAGAAAGGATCAGAAAACACTTGAGTCATGAACCAAGGTTCTGGTGTGGTGAAGAGTAATGGGCGTTGAAGAAACAGCAAAGACACCAGTAGTGGATAAGGGAGTAGAAAATAGAGTTGAAGTCAGAGAGGAGGAAGGGACAGGTCCAGGCATCTTTCGAGGGGCATCAGGGAGGAATTTGGTCAGATTTGGTCTGTAGATTCAGGACCAGCTCATGGAAGTCAATTGTTAGTATTCCATCCCAAGTCCTCGTCCAGTGACTTCATGCTAGCAGCTTACTATGGAGTTCTGGTTGTTTAGCAGCAAAGAGCTGCACTGCCAGCCCAGGGGCATGAGGTTTGAATCCACCAGCTGCTCCATGGGAGAAAGATGGGAAATCTCTACCTGTGTGAATTATTGTCTCTGAAAACCTGCTAGAGAGTCAGCTGTGAATCCATTCCGATTCCATGGTACATAACATCAATCGCATTGGCCAATTGGGAGTATTTACACCATGTAAATGGGTTAAACATTTACGAGTATGCCACTGGAAGCAATTCTCTAGCTGCTGTGAAGGAATGGAAGCATGGGGGAGAAAGAATGCAGGGACAGGCCTGAGCTGACGGGGGAGTGAAGGGGAGAAAGTTCAGGCACACAGTCCTGGAGCAAAACCAGAATGAAGACACCTGGTTAGCGCTGAGCTCTGAGGAAGTCCAGACCACCGCATCCCTGGACCTCGAGCCTCAGAGTCCAGACAGCTCCAACGTGCCAAACCTCCAAGGAGGATTTTCTGTCCTATTAACATAGCCAAAGTCCAGCATCTCCCCTGCCCCCACCCCTGAGCTCCTGGCACTGAGGAAGAAACACAGGAAAAGATTCCACACCCACACTTCCTCCACACTTCTCGAGGTCCAGCCTGCCTGCCTGGACCAGCTATGGGATCCAGGACAAAACTCTGGCTACTGCTGCTGCTTTTTTTTTTCCTTAAGTGTTGTGTGTTTTGTATTTCATTTAATTCATTCATTTTTGTACACTTTCCTCCCATCTCCCACTCCACTTTGCAATGCACCTCTTGTTCAGGACTGTTGTCATGCATTTAATGCCTAATCATCCACTCTTTTTAATCAGTTCTTTCACTCATCTCTTCCACTGTTCATTATCTACGCCTTCTTTGACCCTCAGTTTCTTTATCTGAAATAGGAAATCCCTCCTGCCTTGGATGGGTGGGAGAGCTTGGTGAGAGGAGGTGCCCGAGCACAGCACAGCTGCTCCTGCCTCGAACACTCAGCACCATCAGCTACGGCTGCTGGTCAGCCGCTGAGCAGAGAGAAGCAGAACATTTACTGGCCAACTTGTTCCCAGGCTACAGGCTCTGAGGTCAGGGATGACGTTCCTGCCTGACTCACCTCAGTCACTTGCTGCTTGTCCAGGTGAAACACCTGCCCGGAGCTGGTGGCGGCAATCTCCTCGAAGGCCAGGTAGCCGGGGTGAGTGCGGTCACCACAGTCCCCCGTCAGCACAAAGACCACCTGAAAGACAGACACTCAACCTGGTCCGCGGCTTCCTCAGCCACCTGCTTCAGGTTAGTGACAGCATCCAAGCCAAGGAGGAGCGGCCTGGACACAGGCTTTCCTATTCCTCCTATGGCTCAGGTGACCCATCTATAAAATGGGAATATTGAGTACCCATCTCACAAAGATCAGCAGCTAATGCAGGTCACAGCCGGAGATGCATGGGAGCTGATAATAAATCTATGACGAGGAAGAGAATAGAGACCAGCTCGACTCCACATGGCCACAGGGGCTGCAGAGTGAGAAGAACCGGCGAGAGGTGGAGTGGGTTCTAGATGCAAAAGCTCCTCGAGGTCTTCATCTTGGAAAGTCTTCCTCTCCCTGCCCACATCTTCCTCCATCCCTTGGTGGACAGGAGAAAGCTAAACCCAGAAAGGCCCAACGCGCGCTGCCCACCCCGAGGCCAAGGGAACAAGGTGACGTGAACTGCAGAGACAGCGAGCAGAGGCCACGCCAGGAGCAAGACGGATTGCTCCGACTTTGACAGCATGTAAAAGGAGTAGGGTGGTGTGGGCTTTGTCAAGAGCATGCCTCAGTAGAGCGGCTGTGAGCCTGGCTGGCGGGCAGGTGGCCCGGAGGATGAGAACACACTTGGAATTCGCCAAACCCGCTGAGTTCAATCTCATGGCTGATGGATGGGCTGTGGTTGTCAGAGAGAAGTGCCTGGCCCTCCTGTCTCCAGGTGGGGGCTCAGGACTGCCAGAATGGAAGACTCTTACCCTCAGTGCCGGCCCCCTAATGCCAGGCAGCTCACCTGCGACTGTTTAAGCTGCAGGAGACGCAGCAGCTCCTCCTTCTTGTGATAATCCTTGGCGCGGGCGTCCGAGAAAACATAGATGAACGAGCCGGGGTTGGAGATCTCCACGGCAGCCTTGATGGCCCCCACACTCATCTCAGGGCAGTCGCCACCTCCCTACAGAACAAAGGCCGTGCTGGCAGCTGCTGCCTGCCCCCTCCAAGCGGAGACCCATGGTACCTCTCAAATCATCAAGAGTTAGGCAGCCCCCAGACAGGGCCAGGCCGTAACTCAATTCACTCTAAATTAGGACAAACATTATCATGCTTTCATCCAACCACACCAGAGTGAGATGGTCCCTGACCCCCTGGAATTTGGTATGTGGCCAGACATGACACCAAGAAGCACACATGATTCTTTAATTACCATTGTGACACCAAGAAGCACACAGGATTTCTTAATTACCATTGTGATGAGTGCTACAGTTGGGGCGGGGGGTGGTCATGAGAGCATCTAAGCAAGGGCTCAATGAAGCTACATGTCAGCCGAGGCTTAGAGGTTTGGAGATAGGCCAAGAGAGGGGAGAGGTGGGTGCTGGGGGCAGGAATGCCTTCAAAGCTGATTGCATGCATCTTCTTTGCAGCCTGCCTTGATACCAATTCCAAGTAAATGCACACTCTCCCCTCCCTGCCCAGCAGATGGAAGCTCCCCAGGAGAAGCTGACATCTCTTCATGCCAGCAGCCAGGGGAAGGGTTAGCTCACCTGCACATAGAGTTCTCTCAGCTCCTTCTGAAACACTGCTGGGTCTGTCGTAAGTGTCACCGGACCAATATCTGTGGGAAGAGAGAGTAAGACTTGGGGTTGGAGCTCCCAGGTGCCCAGACCTGGTGAGCAGGGCAGCAGTCACGTTATCTGAGAGAGAGAGGAGCTGAGCCCTGGGCCTCGGAGACACCCCTGATAGGAGAAGAGATCAAAGAGCAGCTTCCAGGGCTGTCTCTTCAAGGACTTGACCTAGGAAGGATGTGCAGACCACTTGGGCTCCTGTTCTGCTCCAGGCCAGGGCCTCAAGCTCAGGGGACCCCAGAGATGGTAACCCCCAGGCCTCTCTCAGAGCAGCAGTTCTGTCCACCTGCTGTGACTAAGACTCCTTGGAATAGCCCCACTCCTGTTCCGTTCACCCTTAAGGGAGGGGAAAAAAGAGTCTAGGAAGACAAGGAAACAAATTACCTCAAAATCACAATGGACCACAGAGCAACTATCCAACACCTGTTTGATTGTTATCAGATGCCACTGAGTTGACCATGACTCACAGCGACCCTATGAACAGCAGATCTGAACCCTATCCTATCCTGTGCCATCCTTACATCCCTGTGACACATGAGCCCATTGCTTCAACTGCTGTGTCATTCCATCTCATCAAGGGTCTTCCTCTCTCTTGCTGACCCTCCATGCTTCCAAGCATCCTTCTCCAGGGACTGGCCTCTCCTAACAACATGCCCAAAGTACATAAGACAGCTTCATCATCCTTCCCTGTAAATAGCACCCTGCCTGCACCCTCTCCAAGATATATTTGTTCTCCTGGCAGCCCACAGGATATTCAGTACCCTGCTCCAACCCATAACTCAAAGGCATCAGTGTCACACATAGTGGATCTCCAGCTTTCAGATACATAGGAAACAATTGCATAAAACCGTGGTTTGAATTAGGTGCATTTAGTCCTCAGACTCACATCGCTGCTTTGATTAGTAAGATAGTAAGTCTGACTAGTAAGAGCAAAATCTGGAAACTCAATATACATGCAGCTATTGTTGTTAGGTATCATCAAGTCAGCTCAGCCTCACAGTGGCTCTGTGTACCCAGAACAAAACCCTGCCCAATTCTCGGCCATCCTCACAGTCTCTGCTCTGCTTAATTCAGCCCATCGTTCCAGGCACTACATCAGTCCATCTGGTTGAGGGTCTTCCCTTCTCTCGTTGACCTTCTACATTCCCAAGCATGACGTTTTTCTTTAGAGACTGACTCAATCTATACCCAAGTATGTGAGACGAACGCTCACCGCCCCCCCTGCTTCTAAAGAGCATCCTGGTTATACTTCTTCCAAGGTAAGTTTGTTCATCTTTTTTCGGCAGTCCACGGTATTTTCAATATTCTTCAACAACAACTTGTTGTTATGTGCCGTTGAGTTGCCTGCGACTCACAGCAACCCTATGGACAACAGCCCTAAATCCTACTCTATCCCTTACCAATCTTATTTTCTCTGACACACCCATCCCCATTATCCCAGTCACTGAATCAATCTATCCCATCAAGGGTCTTCCTCTTCTGTGCTGTTCCTCCACCCACTCTGCATGATGTTCCTCTCCAAGGATTGGTCCCTCCTTACAACATATCCAAAGTATGTCAGACCGAGCTTCAGAATCCTTGCCTCCAAGGCCCAGCCTGGCTTCAACCTCTCTAGGACAAAGTTGTTTGTTCTCCTAGCAGTCCATGGTATATTTAATACTCTTCTCCAACACCAAAGCTCAAAGGCATCAACTCTCCTTCTATCATCCCTAGTCATTGTCCAGCTCTCTGATGCATAGCAAGTAATTGCAAAGACCATGGCCTGTGTCAGGTGCACCTTAGTCTCCTGACAACCATCATTGCTCTTTAGTACTTTGGAAAGGTCTCTGACAGCAGATTTTCCAATGCAATTTGTTTTTAATTTCCTGGCTGCTGGTACCAAGAATATTGACCATAGAGCCAAACAAACTGAAGCTGTCAACAATCTCAATCTCTTCATCATCTATCATGATGCTGCCAATCAGCCCAGTGGTGGGAATCTTTGTTTTCTTGATGTTGAGCTTCAATCCATATTGAAGGCTGCAGTCTTCGACCTTCTGCAGCAAGTGCTTCAGGTTCTCCTCAGTTTCAGCAAGCAGGGTTGTGTCATCTGTATAACACAGATTGTTAATGCGTCTACCTCCAATCTTGATGCCACACTTCTCCTCATAGAGCCCAGGCTCTTGGATAATCTGTTTCACATATAGATTGAAACGATATGGAGACAGGACACATCCCTGATGCACACCCTTCCCAATTTTGAACCATGCAATGTTTCCTTGCTCTGTTCTGACGACTGCCTCTTGGTCCAGGTATAGGCTTCACGTAAGTACAATTAAGTGTCTAGGATTCCCATTCTTCTCAGAGTCAGCCACAGTGATCCACATAATCAAATGCCTTTGCATAGTCAATGAAACAGAGATAGACGTTTCTCTGCTGCTCTCTGCTTTCAGCCAAGATCCATCTGACATTAGCTATAATATTCCTAGTGCTATGACCTCTTCTAAATCCAGCCTGCACTTCAGGCAGTTCCCTGCTGATGTGCTATTCCAGTCGTTTTTGGATAATCTTCAGCAGAATCTTGATTGCATGTGATATCAATGATATTGTTCTATAGTTTCCACACTCTGTTGGATCACCTTTCTTTTGAATGGGAACAAATACAGATCTCTTCCAGTCAGTAGGAAGTGCAAAAGGGAAGCAATTAATAACAGAGCCCACTTACTCTTACTCTCAGTGAGCTTGCTAACAGCAACGTGTTGATAATACCACGTGTTGGCAGGGACAGGGAGCAACTAACGGAAACCTTCACATGCTTCTAAATGGAATGCTAAAATACATACATACATACATACATAAGAAGAAAGTGCTCAACCCACTTTAGGAGACAGTTGAAAGTCTCTTTTAAAAACTTACACTTATGCACACCCATGTTTATTGCTGCTTTGTTCACAACAGCAAAGAGTTGGAAACAACCCAAGTGTCCATCAAGAAAGGAATAAATAGAGAAGATGTGATATATTAATACAATGGAATACTATGCTGCATTGAAAAATAAGGAACTCAGAAATTATTATACAAAATGGATGATTCTGGAGGACATAATGCTGAGTGAAATACCTCAGTCACAAAAGGACAAATATTGCATAGTGCCACTGTTGTAAAACAAGACTGACATCGGGGTTGGGGGGAGCCTAAGAAAAGAGGGGATAAGTAATGTATACTGAACTGTTTAAAAGGAATATGTAATTAGTCATTATTTTTATGACAAGATTCCAGAAAAAGAAATGCATAGTAAAGTGGACTGTGGACTTGGGGGAGGGGATTGTATAACAACAAAAGAATTATTTTTTCTTCTCAAAGAGAAAAGCAAACTGGGGAGAGGTGTGGGCAGAGAGGAATATGTGTAATAATGAATGAATGGGGGGGAAATTAAATGGGAAGAACATGCTGTAAAAAAATCACAATTAAAGTAAAATTTTATTTTCATAAATCATAAAAAGAAAAACACCCCTTACACCTACAATATTATTCAGCCATTCCTCTTCGAGGTATATACACAAGAGAAAGGAGAGCATATGGTCACACAAGGCTTGAACTTTATTGTTTACTTTTAAGAGCCAAAATATCAAATAGTCCAGATGTCCACCAACAGGTGATGGATAAACAAACTGTGGTGTATTCATAATTAAATACTACCTATGATAAAACAGAACTTCTGCCATAGGCCGAATGCGTGGAGCTCATAGACATAATGCTTCACATAAGAAGTCAGATGCAGAGTGCATACGACAGGATTCCATTTATAGAACATTCTGGAACAGTCAAAATAAGCCTACAGTGAAAAAAAAATGAGAACAGAGGTTGCCTAGGGGTTGGAGGAGACTGAAGTGGGAAAGATAAAAAAGGAACTTTCTGAGAAGACAGACATGTTCTATATAGTGATAGTGTGGGCTCCCCGGGTGTATGTATCCACTTGTCAAAATTATACCGCTAAAATTTGTGCATTTCAATGAATGTAAATTTTATCTTATAAAAATTAACTATAAAAAGGGATCATTGAGTCGGGGGTGGGAATGGGTGGGGGTGTAGGTGAAACAGGAGCAGGATTTCCCTTATATATACCATTTTTATGGGAGTTGATGACACTATTCTGCTTACTTTGCATATATTTAGAATTTTCTTTGATGAAAAGTTTTTAGAAACGAGTGGTAATTGAAAGCTGCAGCCAATGTAAGACAACATCACCTATCACCTAGAGACAGAGCTGGGATTCCAACTTGTCCAGGGTTATGTCCTCAGGAGGAACCTGCAAGGTTGGGTGGACATGAAATGTCTTAGGAAAATATCTGAGTCCTTGATGAACTAGAATGGGTGATTTTCAGGTTGATAAATTCTACACTTGAACACCCTTCAGAAGGGAATTCTGTTGGCATAGTCCATAAGGAGTTGCATTGTAACCCATCCTTGGGGTCCCTATAGCGTTTCAAATAGGAGGAAGAAAAGCATTCTCCTCCCATACAATTTGTGTTGTTTTGTTGTTATGTGCCGTCAAGTCGCTTGCGACTCATAGCGACCCTATGTACAACAGCCCTAAACTCTGCTCTGTCCTGTGCCAATCGCACTGTCTCTGACACTCCCATCCCGATTATCCCAGTCACTGAATCAATCCACCTCATAGAGGGCCTTCCCCTCCTGCGCTGTCCCTCCACCCTACCAAGCATGATGTCCTTCTCCAAGGACCGGTCTCTCCTCACAACATGTCCAAAGTATGTTAAATGGAGCCTCAGAATCCTTGCCTCTGAGGAGCCACCCAGTTTAACCCTTTCCAGGACAAATCTGTTTGTTTTCCTAGCAGTCCATGGTATTCTCAATACTCTTCTCCAGCACCACAGCTCAAAGGCATCAATTCTCCTTCTATCCTCCTTGGTCATTGTCCAACTCTCTGATGCATAACAGGTGATTACGAAGACCATGGCCTGTATCAGACGCACCTTAGTCTTCAGAGAGA